AAAGGGTGACAGATAGACGTAGGAATCCCACCTGAAAGGGTTAAGGAATTGCTACTAAAATGTACCATGAATGTTCACTTCATGTTTAAAAATGAATTATATGGACAGGTAAATGGGGTTGCAATGGGGTCTCCTCTGGGTACTATGCTAACGGAATTTTTCTTGGCCAAACTTGAAAAGGGCGCACTTTGGGATACACTGGATAAACTAGACTATTATTGCAAGTATATGGATGATAGTTCATCATTTGTAAGAATGACTACAATAAATATGATATCTTGAATACCTTCAATAATGTTCACTCAGCTACGAAGTTCACCTGAGAAGAAATCCTTGAAATACGTCTACAACAGGTTTCGCAGGTGGCCTCAAACTAACATTTGTACATCCATTTTATGCCCCGTTTCAATATTATGTTTACATATTGAGATGGGACGTTTGTTCCCAGCATCTTTTGGGACAAGTGACTCTATTTGTTTCTGAATCCACTTTAAAATCTGTTCGGTGGCTCTTATTTTCAACGACCGATCAGTCCTCTCTATGTATAGGTTGACGTTTGTTAACCGGTACACTTCTCCCCCTTAATTTATTTAGGGGGAAAGAAATCAGAAATGAAAAATGATTGGCTGGTTCCTCTGGTTAAAAGACGATGTGTTTGTGTATGCAAGAGACATTTCTATTGGACCAGAACAATCTGATTAGTTGAGCACAGATAAGCTATCTGTATTTTGATTGGCTTAGAAAATCATGACCACTTGTCACCTGAAATCACTTTTGAGAAAGTAATCGCCATCCGGTTAAGATTAAATCCAAAAACTGGTTTAAAATTGATATTGTTATTCTGTAGTGACGATGTTGTTCAACGTTTAAGGTAGCCTGTTTCAAAATGTGTTGAGTGTAGTTGTTGGTGTGATACTCTTAATTTCCCGTTGCTATAAAGGGTTGCAATGCTGGACTTCTGTTGGCAGATGGGCTTCTATGAGGACGCTGCTGCTTATTTATGATGTTACATTGATCTCGGTGACTAGCAGAGGAGTCCAAGACTCGCTTTTTATCCTGTTTGGGACTAGGCTTAGTGGATAACGCTCTGCCAGTTTAAGTGATGGGTACTGAGTTCTATCCTCCTCTTCTGTAGACATAACCCTCTTCTTTGTTTACTTCCACATGGGCCATCTCCACAGAGTTCCAAGTGACCAGTCCCTTACTCCCCTTCTGGTCGTCGACACCGGCATCTAGGTCAACATTCAAGTTATTTACTGGGTGAGTTATCGTTATTCTAGGAGACTATGAAGTCGTTGAAAATGAAGTTGTTGATCTCCTACCTGTCCGCTTCCATGATCGTACTCACAGCTACAGTTGTCACTTCCATTTCTTCTCCAGAACCACCTGGTAAAATATCTACAGCAGGATATTCTGGACTTGAGTCTGTCGGCATGGATGTCCTGCCATCCAAAATTTTCCGTACATTCCAAAGAACTGTTCATAATTGCTGTTCATTGTTGAAGAATAGTAAAAAAGCCATCCAAAGTCGACTTCTTGATGGAAGAAGGGATGGGGTTGACTGAGGAATGAAGTTCTGAAATGGCACATTGTGCTGCTCATTCTCCCATATCAGCCAAGCGATACAAACGTGAACTGCCTCTAGGAGGATTTTTCTGTGTATACGGTATATAATTATATGCCTGTATGGCAAGTTGTACTCTACACGAAATCCGTAGTTACACGTTATAGGGTCTGAGGAAACAAGGAGTAATCCCATGATGCCCATTACAATGCTTTCCTCAGAATAACTGTCAGCAAAAGCTTCGATTTGCACATTCCTTTTAGTAAGTGAACATGTGACAGGCGTTAGGTTGCGGAATATGGAAGTGAAAGTAGTATGATCATTCAGTTCAAATCTACTGTTGCAATCCCACAGCAGCTAACAATGAACTCCTTAATCAGTAACCGCTACTCATCGTAGAGCTGAGTGTTGCATGATGTACTGGTATTTTTCGGGACAACTGTGGAACTTCATTGTAGATTGTTTGGTTTCGACGAAATTAGTGTTATTTTGTCAAAAAGAACGCATTGTCGACGATTGACAGCAGCTCACTTGTGCTTACATGGTAAGATGTAGGACAACAAGTACCTGTGAAACATTGTATCTATAGGCTCTACATGAACAACCCAACTTTCTAGGCTAAACGAAATATGATGCATCCACTGACACTAACGACCCCCATTCTTTATGTACAACATTCGAAAGAAGTATTAGAACACTTTGAGTTGTAATCCCTGCAAACAATAAAATGTTCTAGATAATTTGGTACACAGACTTACCTTTTTGATCACTTCGCGAATGATATGCACATGACACTGTAGGTGATGTGAGTGGGGGATAATTTGGCATAAGTACAGACGCAACTGCAGGACAATAATCTGTTGTGAAAGCACCCACTGCATGGCTTTCAATGACATTCATAAAAATTCCCAGAAATTTACCATTCAGCTCTACTGTTTCACTGCTTATGAAACTGAAAGCTAAAGGAATAGCCATGAAGTTGATATCGATCGCTATGAACTCTGGGAGGAATAGGTTTTCATTTCTAATCTTATAAGTGCAATCGAAGATCAAGACAAGTTTCAGCAAATTCCAGCTGGTCGGTTGTAGCGAAAAATAGTATTTCAGTTCTCCACCATCTGTGATAGAAAAGGATGCCAATCCACCTTGACTGATTATTTGCTCCTGAAACATTTCATAACTGCCTACAACAAGATGGTTTCATGGGAAGAGGTGATAACGCATTTTGAATACATCTTGGTTATTCAGCTGTTTGTTTCAGTGTGTGCATAACCGAAATCAAAAATATTGAATGCAACGGTACCAGACGTTAGCAATGACCTTATGATATCCAATTCAATTCCCGCCAACTCCAGCACCCAAGAACCATTATCAATAAAGCAGAGGATTGCAAGGACGATTGTGAGTTAACAGCCACAGAGTTACTGTCCAGAAATCTTCTAAAGATTTGGCTAGCACGAACACCCGACAAGAAAATTTCAGGGGACAAACAGAACTGACCTTCTTGTCACTACACCATCTATTGACCGGCATCTACTTGCCTTAAAACAAAAAAACTTGATGTAGGCTCTTCAGTCACCTTGCAAATATGAATCTCGTACAATGTAGTACTTGCACATGTGCTTCTCATTTTCCCTTCGGGCATCCTTCAATGACTGTAAAGATGAAAATGTGGAGAGACAGAAACGCGCCATAGACATTGATTCAGTCTTGGTTACAACACTTAGGACGGTACCGTCACTCATCATGGAAATATAGCAACCCTTCCCCGGTTTACTCTGTTTTATAGCACTTTTCGATTTCGTGCAACCAGTCACGCGGGATGTTTTGTCATCTATTTTGCGTCACATGTATTCCTTACATTATCACCTTTTCTATGAATATTAGAAACTTTATTTCATGAATATCTTATATTAACATAGAATGTGGGTAAGAAGTCTACTTTCCATGAACATGCTTTGCTTGATAGTAACTTGTGTCCAAGTCCTGGACAGTAACTGTGATCTCTTGAAGATAAATTTGTTTTCAGTAAAGACGAATAATCCTACTTTTTGTAGACAGACAGTTTTTTTAATAGTTGACTGCAGTGTATGGTGGAATGATAAGTCCACTAACATGAAAAGTGTAGTTCACAGGTACTAAGTGTAAAATTAATTATTCGATAACATTTTTAAGCCAAAGTGAAATTCTATCTGGAGGTTTGTGGAGGTTTTTTAATTGATCATGAACTGATATCAGTTGGAGGAAGATTGGAAAGCTAGGAATACTGAACAGCTGTTTCGTCCACCTAGTATAGGTTTCCTCAGCAATGCACACCTATGACCCCGAAGTTCCAATGAGAAGTCGTGACTGGTGGAGTCAACCAAGTCGAGTATGAAGACGGTTACTCGGCGACGATATTAGATGTAGGTCGCACCATATTGTGAACTGACAGAAGTAGGAAATGTGCACGTCTCCAGTTCACTCTTTTCTCCGAAATCTTTTGAACCTGACTCCACGACAACCCACAAGCTCTCATTTCTTCCTCACACGATCTCCATGTTACACTCATCAGTGACGCCCAACTCGTCGCTTCCCATCGGGGTCCCACCCGAGGGCTTGGTCCAGTGCGTGATGTCCCCGAATGGTCTTCTCAGTGTATGCCCAATCCATCTCCACTTCCTTCCAATGCACATTTGTTGAGCGATAGCTTCTTGATTGGTTCGTTGCCAGCCAGCCAGAGTTCCTTGTTGCTTATTCTTATTATTCTGGCCATCTGATCTTCAGTGAGCAGCCAGCGTAGGTGGCAGTTGTTGATGAATGTCTGTAATTTGTTGGAAATCCTTTTCGTAACACACCAAGTTTCTGAACCATACAGAAGCAAAGACATGACTCATGTTGGTGTTGAAAATCCGCATCTTGTTCCACATGCTGAGTGCTGATCTCCACACTGGTTTCAGGCTAATGAACGCCTGTCTTGCTTTTCCGATTCTGACTTTGCATCCTCATCTGTGCCACCTGTAGTTGAAACAGTGCTGCTTACATAGGTGAAGGGGGCTACTTCAACTAAGTTTCTCCCGTTAATGGTGATTGTAGCTAGTTGTTGTTGTTGGTTGGGTATCTTCATGACCTCTTTCTTCTCTAAGTTCACGTGGAGTCCGGTCTTCGCTGCCTCGCCTCTTCTGTCAACTTGTTAGATTTTGCCAGTAGATCTTCAAGTTTGTGCTACACTAGACACAAGTCATCGGCGAAATCTAAATCTTCTAGGTCCTTTTCTGAGGTCCAGCGTATCCCCCTCTTCTCGTTTTTCACTCTTTGTTGCATGATCCAGTCCACTACAATCAGGAATATCATGGATGATGGTAGAAATCAAATTATTAATGACCTGTTAATCATTTATCTTATTTTTATTCTTTTTTCCAATAAGATAAACCTACATATTGTATTTTTATTTTAGGCAAGACACTTTAATTGTAGCTAGCGATCAACCAAAAGTTATGAAAGTTATTGCTAGATGTTGTCTTCTGTCAAGTCTTTGGCAAATATTTATCCACTGTTACATACGTAGTCTACGCATTGTAACAACAATTGATTGTGCTGCAATCACAGCTGTATTACCTTGCTTTACATATTTATTATCCTGGATTATTGTTCATAGACGATTCTGTGCTTTACGGGTAAGCAACTGTATTTTTGACATTATATGCACATATTTTATCATTGGAAATAGTAGGAGATAGTATTATTGCTTGTATTATCCCATCGTTGATTGGACAGCAAATGGGATCCTGTGCGGAAGCCTCGATATTACCTGTGTTTTAATTATAGTAATGATGGATAGTGGATAGCAGTAAAATCCAGCTTGATGTCTATTTCATCTTATTTGGAACTCACCAGTCAGCAAGATGTATCTGTCTCCCACTGGGTGACGCTATCCCCACGAAGATTCGAACTTGTGACCGATCTTTTCAAACACCAAAGCGTTACCCACTACACCACCAAGCCAAGATAGCCATCTCTTGTGCAACGAGTATTATTGTTATTATTATTTTTCCCTTGGGTTTCGAGTGGAACATAGGGCTCCAGTAGCACACCACCATTGATCTCTGTTCTCTTCAGTCTTGTCAACCTGGGGCCACGACTGCCCATTAGCTTTCATTTCTTCCTCACATGATCTCCACGTCACCCTCACCTCCGGCGACAACTTGTCGTTTCCCCTTTGGATTCCACTCCACGGCCTGACCTGGCGCGTAGTGTCACCAACCGGCCTTCTCGATTTACGCCCAGTCCATCTCCACTCCCTTCTGCTGCATATTTGTTGGGTGATAGCTACTGGCTTCGTTGGTTCGTCTCCAGCCAGAGTTCCTTGTTGCTTATTATTTCTCGCCTTCTTATCTCATCTGATCTTTAGCATAGAATGGGCGTAGACAGCAGCTGTTGATGAATGTGTGTAGTTTGTTAGAAGCACTTTTCGTGACGTGCCAAGTTTCTGAACCATAACATAGAAGCACTGACCCGCCTGAATTGGTGTTGAAAGTCCGGATGCTGTTCTTTGTGCTGAGTGTAGTAGATTTCCAGATTGATGAAAGCCCGTCTTGCTGTCTTTCCGATCCTAGTTTTAACATTCTCGTCTGTGCCTGTGACGCCTGTAGTTGAAACGATGCTGCATAGGTAGGTGAAAGAGATTATTTTGTTTAAGTTTCTCCCGTTAATGGTGATTGTTACTTGTGGTTGTTGGTTCGGTATCTTCATCAACTGTGTCTTATCTACGTCCACCTGAAGGAAGTTCTCACCTCTTCTGTCAACTTGTTGGTTTTCGCCTGTACATCTTCGAGTTTGTGCGACATAATATATTACACATAAATCATCATCATGGGCGAAATGCAAAACTTCTCACTCCTCACAAGTTCTTGCATGAACCAGTACAGTACAGTACAGTCGACCACAATTGGGAAGATCATTAGTAATACTAGGTAACAAAATTGTCTTACTCCTATCTTCAACTCACCTCACTTCAAAGGCATCACTCAGCTTCCCATTGTGAATCACTCGGCATCTGGCGTCTTCATATAGAGCTGTTGAATGAGGTTGATGAAGGTTTGTGGTATTCCATAGTGTTGAAGCAACTGCCAGACTACTTGTCGGTCGACGCCTCAATCGAAGGCCTTCACAAAGTCGATGAAGATGAGGTGGAGAGTTGACTGCCATTCCATGCTGTGTTCTATGATGATGGGGAGCATAGTATTGCAGTTTGATCTTCACATGATTTGTTCATCGTGAAGACAGCTAGCTAGCTAGCCAGCCAGCCAGCCAGCCAGCCAGCCAGCCAGCCAGCCAGCCAGCCAGCCAGCCAGCCAGCCAGCCAGCCAGCCAGCCAGCCAGCCAGCCAGCCAGCCAGCCAGCCAGCCAGCCAGCCAGCCAGCCAGCCAGCCAGCCAGCCAGCCAGCCAGCCAGCCAGCCAGCCAGCCAGCCAGCCAGCCAGCCAGCCAGCCAGCCAGCCAGCCAGCCAGCCAGCCAGCCAGCCAGCCAGCCAGCCAGCCAGCCAGCCTGCCTATTGCAGTCATAATTTTGAATGCAACACATGCTTCAGTCTCTCCAGGATGATGCGGCTTAACATTTTGCTTGTTTTGTGTGGACAGCAAGTTCTTGCAAAGGCTTATGTCTCCGTTCTCTGGGATTTTGACAAGGTAGCCATTCTCCAAACCGATAGGTACCTTTCCTTCCTTCGAAACCTTGTATGAAGTGGTGTTGTGTGAGCATGTCCGTTGCTGATGTCTGTGTGTCTGTTTTCAGTGTTTCTGACAGAAATCCATCTGGTCCTGTGCAACGATTATAGTCTTAGTGTTATGCTTGCATTATCCCGCGGTTGATTGAACCGAACTGATCTGTATTCTCTCCAGTTGACAAGTCCAAAACAGGATGAAATGAGCATCATAGATTCCACTGCTAGCCACTATTTATCATTACAATGGTTGAAGATATTTCTTGCTCATGGTTGTTTTGTGTTCTTTGATCTGGATGATTTTAGTCATGAAGTCCTTCTAAACCATATCTTGATTAAACCATCCACCTGAGAAAATGCAACGCAACCCAACCAACATTTCACTTTTATACTTCCAAAATTTCCTAGATATTTAAAAGGTAACTTTTATCTATGCATTTACATAGTATTCGGTTCTTATGTGTACTAGGGTGAAAGGTTCAAGATCTTTGTTAAAGTTGACGGTAAAGCACTTTCAGATAAACATGTTGCCTGTCGATTACTGTTCTAGGCTAAACAGAACTTTTTATACGCTATCTATAACCATTGAATCTATGAAACTAGATTAACGTAATTCAATGAGATTTTTAGACCGGACAATATAATATTAGACACCATCTTGTCTCAAATCAATGAATACCTCTCGTGTTAACTTCCAATCATTGGGAGTAAAACAAAATAATCTAAATTGACAGTGCTCAACAAAACATTTGAAATTGTCATTATTATTTATCCCTTCCTAGTGGAACATAGAGATTCAGTGGCAGGTCTCCAGTGCACTCCGTTCTCTGCAATCTTTTGAACCTGACTCCACGAAAACCCACAAGCTCTCATTTCTTCCTCACACGATATCCTCCATGTCACCGTCAGCTAGGACGCCAGATCCGTAGTTTCCCGTATAGGTAACATCCTAGCAACTGGCCTGACTCGTGATGTCCCCTAATTGTCTTCTCAGTGAAATAACGGAGAATATTTGTAGCTCAGGTGGATCGTCTTCGTTGTATTGTGTTCTCTCAGATGAATTGTTTAGTCGTGAAGCTTTCATCATCTTCCTCCTGGACAACATCATCAGCACTAACTTCAGTATGAAGTCAGCTGTCAATTCTCTCCGTGAGTGATTTAGTGGCTTGCTCTGACGATGTGGTCTGTGACTGGTTGTTTCCTTTGATTGTTGTGTCATTGACTGACTGTATAGGCTTTCCTGTTGGTTGCCCCACTCCTTCACCTCTCACCTTTCTGTCGTTTATCATTTTTCTCATTGGTTGATAGGTTGGATCTATGTCTATACATCTGTTGATTGCTGACTGACTGACTGATCTGAATGCCACTCTTCTAGGAATTCTCTGATGACATTCTTTGTGTTTCCTCTCTCCATCCAACATTTCTACATTGTCGAAATTCAATTCACCTCCATAGTTGTTATGCACGTGGATTGAAATGAGTGATGAAATGTCATGTGTGATGTATAATAGCCAATTGGTGTTCTCATGTAGATGAAGGTGAAGAGGGAGACCACTTTGTCGAATGTAGTGTTGACTACAATTATTGTAGTTGATTTTGTAAGTGATTTTCGGTGTGTCTTGTTTGGTTGTTTCATCCACTAGTCTGGATAATAGTGTTTGTAGGGAATCTGTTGGTTTATGAGCCACACAAGTGGTTTCAGTAATCTCATCTTGATTTTCGATATATTCTTTATGTATGATAGGTCTTCTCAGTGCATGCCCAATCCACCTCTTTTTTCTTCTACTGCATATTTGTTGGATGATAGATTCTTGGTTGGTTAATTGCCAAGCCAGAGTTCCTTATTGCTTATTGTTTTTGGCCATCTGAGCTTCAGTAACAAGGTAGCGTAGGCACTTGTTGATGAATAATCTCCTTATCTTATAACCAATGAATTTTCAAATTTTGTATACATTTAAACAAAACTGTTAGTATTAACTATTATTTCAGGTTATTGCATTTATAATGGCTTCCAGTGGTGTCATCCTTAATATATATAGTGATTCAATAGTAATGTGGTATAAATGTTTAACGAGTATGGCGGTAATTACTTTCTCTCTATTCACAGTAAGTGATTTGATAATTTCATCAGTCAATAATTGTATTTTATAAACATTTTGAGTTTTTCTCACCTAAAGTAAATAAATGAATATAACAACTATCATATCAATTCTACTTATTACTGGAAATATCCATAAAGAGATGAGAGGTAACAAGAAGTTCAGCGAAGATACCTTCTTCGATGATTTCAATCTATATAACCGTACAATTGCAATTTATACACTTTTCTATATAGTAATGATGAATAGTGGATAACAGTGGAATCTAGAATGTACATTTTGTCCTATTTGGAACTTACCAGTCAGCTGGATGTACCTCTCTCCCATTAAGTGTTGTTCCCACCGGGATTCGAACCCATGACTGATCCATTCAAAAGCCGGAGCATTATCTATTACACCACCGAGCCAACATTTTCATTTCCTATGCAACGGGTATAGTTTTAGTATAATTGCTTGTATTAGCCCGTCGTTGGTTCGACCGAATTGATAGGTTTCTATTGGTATATGGGCTCCTATGTGGATGCCTTGATCAATTCGTTCCAATCAACAACGGTATAATATCAGCAATAATACTATTACATTTATTGTTGAAAAATATTGAACACTTACAAGGATTATATAATTAAAACTGGTAAGAAAGATCAAGTTTAGTGATCTAAAATTTACAAATGTGATACAGGGTGGAAATTATTCACAAAACAGTACAGAAACTGGCATAATTATTCGGACTGAATAATAAAGTCGCATAATATGTAAAAACCTCGCCTGGTTAACTAGTTTACTAGTTACTAGCCGGTCATAAGTCCACACAAAGAGGGAAGGTTGGGCATAGGGCTAGCAACCCTACCCCGTAAAACAAATCTAACCGCTAAAGAAACTTCAAAGCACAAACAAAATATAAAAAATGAAAACAAACTTATTCCCCGCTGGAATCGGAGAGGCGAAATGACGCCAGTTGGTGAAAGCCTTCGGGAAGCCAATTGGCCGATGTGTCTTCTTCTCTCGATGAAAGCGAAAGTAAACGTGGGGACATGGAATGTCCGTACGATGTTTGAACCCAGTAAGGCAGCCCAGATTGCAAAGGAGATGAGAAGGTATAACATCGAAGTGCTTGGGATTTGCGAAAGCAGATGGAATGGGAGTGGACTCTCCAAACTGTCAACTGGAGAATCAATAATCTACTCCGGTCACCCAGACGCCAACCACGAGCACACTGAGGGAGTGGCTATCATGATGTCCTCAAGAGCATCGAAGGCTCTCATGCAGTGGGAACCAATCTCCTCCAGGATCATGACAGCAAGATTCAACTCAAAAGGAAGAAAGGTCACAATCATACAATGTTATGCACCTACAAATAATGCAGAGCAAGAGAAAAAGGAGGAATTCTACAGACAACTTCAATCAACACTGGACAAGACGTCAGTTGGCGATATCAAAATTCTAATGGGCGACATGAATGCCAAACTGGGAGGGGACAACACAGGAAGAGAACTAACCATGGGTCGAGAGGCGCTAGGTGAAATGAATGAGAATGGAGAATTGTTTGCAGAATTCTGTGCATTCAACGATTTGGTGATTGGAGGCAGTGTGTTCAGGCACAAGGATATCCACAAAGCGACATGGATTTCACCAGATGGACACACTAAAAATCAAATCGACTTTATCTCAATCTCAAGAAAATGGAGACGCAGTCTACTTAACACAAGGTCAAGAAGAGGAGCAGATGTAGGTTCAGACCACTATCTAGTGCAAGGAACCTTCCAAATCAAGTTAAAAGCCTTCAAGGAAGCTGGTGATAGACCTCAATTCAAGTACAACACTCGGAAACTGAAGGATGAAACTACAAAGGAGATCTTCAAAGCAGCCATCAAGACAAAATGGGAGACATCGAGGGACATCCCTGAAGAAACCTGTGTGGAAGAACACTGGAAGTCTTTGAAAGCTATGTGGAAAGAAACCTGCACAACAGTATTAGGAAGGAAGAAGAAAGAAGACAAGGAATGGATCTCGACGGATACCTGGAAGCTGATAGAGGAGAGGAGGATGGTGAAGCAGAAGATAAACCAGTGCAAGGATGCTCAACGACAAGAGGAACTGAGCACAATGTATAAAACACTGGACAAAGAAGTGAAGAAGAGTGCACGCAAAGACAAAAGACACTTCTACGAACACTGGCAAGTGAAGCAGAACAGGCTGCAGGTAAGAGAGACCTGACGACATTGTATCAAATAACCAGGTTGCTATCAGGGAAGAGACCAACACAGATGAAACCAATAAAAGATGAAGAAGGAAATTTAATTACAAAAGAAGAGAAACAGAGGAAACGATGGGCCGACCACTTCAAGAAGCTCTTGAATCGACCACCACCTGCACTTCGTCCAGAAATACCACCTGCAGCCGCTGAATTACAAGTGAACATTAATCCCCCAACGAAAATGGAAGTCCTGAACGCCATAAAGCTACTGAAATGTGGGAAAGCAGCAGGACCAGATGGAATACCGCCAGAAGCACTGAGAACAGATGCAGAGACAACAGCGGACATGCTCACACCACTATTGCAGAAGGTGTGGAAGGAAGAGAAGGTACCTGACGATTGGAAGAAGGGTTACCTTGTCAAACTGCCGAAGAAGGGAGACCTCAGTGCTTGCAAGAACTGGTGCGGAATCACTCTCCTGTCCACCCCAAGTAAAATATTAAGCCGCATCATCCTGGAGAGGCTTAAAGACGCACTGGATTCAAAACTGCGACCGGAACAGGCAGGCTTCAGGAAGTACAAATCATGTGCTGACCAAATTGCAACGCTTCGTATCATCATAGAACAGAGCGTAGAATGGCAATCAGCTCTCTACCTCAACTTCATCGACTTTGAGAAGGCCTTTGACAGCGTCGACCGAGAAGTAATTTGGAAACTGCTTCAATACTACGGAGTACCGCAAACCTTTATCCGCCTCATTCAACAACTATATGAAGATGCCACATGCCAAGTAATCCACAATGGGAAGCTCAGTGATGCCTTTGAAGTGAAGACAGGAGTGAAACAAGGTTGCCTACTATCCCCCATGATATTCCTTATTGTGGTGGACTGGATCATGCAGCAAACAGTAGGCAGCGAGAAGAGGGGGATACACTGGACGACGGAAAAGAACCTAGAAGACTTGGATTTCGCCGATGACTTATGCCTAATGTCACATAAACTTGAAGATCTGCAGGCAAAAACTAACAAGTTGACAGAAGAGGCAGCGAAGACGGGACTTCAGGTGAATATAGAGAAGACAGAAGTGATGAAGATACCGCACCACCACCATCAACAACAACAACAAACTCCAATCACCGTCAACGGGAGAAACTTGAAGGAAGTAACCTCCTTCACTTATCTAGGAAGCACTGTTTCAACTACAGGCGGGACGGACGAGGACGTCAAAGTCAGAATCGGAAAAGCAAGACAGGCGTTCATTAGCCTGAAACCAGTGTGGAGATCTTCTGCACTCAGCATGCGGAACAAGATACGGATTTTCAACACCAACGTCAAGTCAGTGCTCTTGTATGGCTCAGAGACTTGGCGCGTCACGAAAGGCATTTCCAATAAACTACAGACATTCATCAACAACTGCTTACGCTCGCTGCTGAAGATCAGATGGCCAGAAAAAATAAGCAACAAGGAACTCTGGGAACGAACCAACCAAGAAGCTATCACACAACAAATATGCAGGAGGAAGTGGAGATGGATTGGCCATGCACTGAGAAGGCCGACTGAGGACATCACGCGTCAGGCCCTCGAGTGGAATCCCCATGGGAAGCGACGAGTTGGACGTCCGAGGGTGACATGGAGGAGGTCATGCGAGGAGGAAATGAGAGCTTCTGGGCTGTCGTGGGACCAGGTTCAAAAGATCTCAGAGAACAGAGGTCACTGGAGGCGTGCTACTGAAGCCCTATGTTCCACTAGGAACCCAAGGGACTAATAATAAAATAATAATAATAAAAATAATATGTAAAAATCATCTTAAAGATGAAGCATGATCATGGATAGTATGAAAACCAAATAAAGACGGTATTGGGCTGTTAAAATATATGATTATTATTACTCCTTTGGGTTCCTAATGGAACATAGGGCTTCAGTAGCACGTCTCTATTACACTCTCTCCTCTGTAATCTTTTGAACCTGGCTCCAAGACAGCCCACAAGCTCTCATTTCCTCCTCGCACGATCTCCTCCATGTCAACCTCAACTGGGACGCACAACTCGTCGCTTCCCATGGGGATTCCACTCGAGTACCTGGCCTAACACGTGATGTCCCCAGTCCGCCTTCTCAGTGTATGCCCAATCCATCTCCACTTCCTTCCAGTGCATATTTGTTCAGCGATAAGTTCTTGGTTGGTTCGTTCCCAGAGCTCCTTGTTGCTTATTCTTATTATTCTGGCCATCTGATCTTCAGTGAAGAGCCAGCGTAGGTGGCAGTTGTTGATGAATGTCTGTAGTTTATTGGAAATCCCTTTTGTAACGCGCCAGATCTCTGAACCATCACAGAGAAGCACTGACTTGACTGGCTTTGTGTTGGAAATCCACATCTTGTTCCACGTGTTGAGTGCAGAAGATCTGCACACTGGTTTCAGGCTAATGAACGCCTGTCTTGCTTTTCCGATCCTGGTCTTGACATCCTCGTCTGTGCCACCTGTAGTTGAAACAGTGCTGCCTACATGGGTGAGGGAGGTTACTTCCTTTAAGTTTCTCCCATTCATGGTGATTCGAGTTTGTTGCTGTTGGTTGGGTGGTATCTTCATCACTTCTGTCTCCTCTATATTCACTTGAAGTCCCGTCTTCGCTGCCTGGCCTCTTCTGACAACTTGAAGTCTTCACCTGTACGTCTTCCAGTCTGCGGGACATCAGGCACAAGTCATCGGTGAAATCTTCTAGGCTCTTTTCCGCTGTCCAGGCAGCCTATCCCCCTCTTCTCACAGCTCCCCACTGTTTGCTGCATGATCCAGTTGACCACAATCAGGAATATCATGG